GTAGCAGTGAAGGTCGACCGGATCGATGCAACCATATGAATAGAGGTATAAGCCATGATGGTACCTACAACAAGCAGTGGAGGTCGACCGGATTGATACAGCCGTACTTGCTGAAGAACTCACCGAGATCTACTCTACTCCTACTCCTAAGGGGTGGTCGGAGCCGAAAATGTAAATAACTTGTATATTGGATTGATTGTTGTTGTTTTTTACAATAGCCGGGGTCTGATATTTATACCCAGAGTCTAAACATGAATTCTACTCGAGCATGATTCAATCTTTGGCATAAACGAAAACATTCCTAATTTAAGATAACTTGGACTCTAATCTTTCCCTTCTTGCAGAGTCCGATATATAGTTTCCTGGCGCCAACCGTAGTTCATCATCGCTATCCGCTGACGTCACCCCAAGAGATCTGATTCCAGAGTCATATCTGAATTGGCTGACATCGATCCTCATTCAATCGATTCTTTGATTGGCACAATCTTGGAAGCCTGCAAGTTCCTGCGTTCTTTTCCTAAATTTTGGTGTAAACAGTATCTATTATGAATATGTTATCTCAAATGTACAACAATTCACAACACAAACAAAAGTAATCTTTTATATATTGAATTTTACATTGAGATCCATAAGTTACATATGCATTTTTGAAATTTATTTTATTTATATAATATTGGGATGCTCAATGTGAATCCAAGCATGCAACAAACCACCAACTTTTAAAAGCTTGCAAGCTTCCAAATCAATGTCACTTCCACAACTGCACCTAAAACAAGAATTAGATTATCCTGATAAAAAACAAAGTTAAATTATATTACTGTACTGCTAGTTTCATCAGTAGAAGAAATAAAATGCATTGTAAATCATGAATCAAGGATTTAGAGGATTAAAAACAGACTACGAGAGGAAAATGCTAACTCATGAGCCGTGCTCCCACTAGCTCTTTCCTCCATCTCACTTGCCTCCTTCATGGCTGGCCCCATGCAGGCCCCTTCACCGCAAGACGATGACAGCGGCTAGAGGAAACATACTGTGGAAGTGGCAGGCCCGGCCCCTACGTGTTGGCTCCAACATGCTCCTCCTCACCGCAGGACGGCGACGACGGTGGTGGGAATAATCGTGGCAACATCAAGGCTGACCATCAAGCATTGGCCCTAGCCCACTCCTCATCTTATGCGACTGCATCAGCATCATCACAGAGATTTTTTTGTGACTGCTCTCCTCTATATCAGGAAGAAAGATGGTTACCTTGTCGATAGATCATTGAACTGGATGAAGGTGAGGTTTACCTTGTGGGTAGTGATAGAGATAGATGCTTGGGAGGTCGATGGGCCAAAGAGCTTCGTCGATGAGGGCTGCACACCACCGCGAAAGTTAGCCATGGACCCTCTCATCTACTGCAACTCCACCTTTCTGGGTCGCCAGCATTAGTGTCGCGTTGCCGCTTCAACCCTCCCATGGTTGCTCTGGATCTAAGAGAGTCGAGGGATGTGGGAGTTGATAGAAGAGAGAATGAGAGGCATGTAGTGGAGAAAATGGATGGGAGCTGAGATGATAAGGTTCTAGTGGGCCCCATCATTCACAGGGAGAGAGCGTGTATGTGTGTGCTTAGGGTTTTTAGCCTCGCGCATCATAGAGATAGTATGTCCCTAAAGTTTCCAAGTTTCCCTAGGGAAATCAACCAGTTTGTTGTATACATGGCATTTTGATCCCAAGAAAATAGCCAAGTCCTAAATAAAGATAAGGTATCACTATGGTTTTCAAATGCTGACCTAAAGAAATGATACTTCCCCTTGAGTTTCTTTAACTTGCCTATATGAAAAACAAATAACTCTAAGGAAACCAGTAGATTCTATTAGTGATTGTAATTAAGACAGAACTAGATTCTTGTATTTCAGGGTCGAGGGAGTATTATGTAGTCATAAACTCTTCTTATTTACCATATGAAGAAAACGTTCAAGAAAATCCAGCTAACTCATCAGTAAGTTCAGCTTGCTTATGTGCATGAATGAAGATTAAGCAAGAATGATAAAAACACCCATATGTGGCTTAGTTCCTAGACTCAAATAAGTGACAAATAAATTATACTCTACCTGGACTCAGAATATCTGGACATTAGGAAAGGATGTATCAATTAGTGTAAATCACGTACAAGAACTCAAGCCATGGTCAGTATCCCTACACTTTGAAAGTACCTAGTTTGGTTTTAGTAATTGAGTGACAGCTGGACTAATGTTTTACTTGAGTGATAAGCTAGGTTAGTCCACACCAAGGTATTGAGCAAGGTGGAAACCGTGGTGGAGATGGTGATGGCCAAGCAATGAAGTGCTCAACATAGATGAAGGAGATGATGGAGGTGGATGGAGAGCAAAAACTCAGAAGCCAAAGGTATATCATACAGGGTTTTGTTGTCACCAGCTAAGGTGCAATACAGTACATGGCTCGGTTAGGACAGTTAGACATACTATATATTAACCTTGCATATGCGTTAGATCTAGTGACGTGGTGAAGAAGCAAGAGACATGCTTTAAAAAATATTTTGAAAATGCTAACTCAATGCTAAAGTTGTTGATGTCTCGGTGGGACATAGTTGGGAGTTAGCACAATTGAAAATTGGTTTGAGGGCTGCACTTGATGAGGCATTTCTGTACTCATCGAAAACCTCTGGTGGTCACTTGAGTTGGTGTACTAGAGAGTTTCTTAGTGCCTGCTTGTTGGTTCAAGCATCTGGACGATCAAGTTAACTTTCGGTGCTCACCGCAAAGGTTGCCCTGGAGTTTTGGAGCAGTGCCAACTGAAACGCACGAGCTTTTCATATGAGGGCACCGAAAGTGCCTGGTGAGCACTGGAGCAACTCACCAGATAGACCTGGGAGCGCCAAAAATCTCATCTTTAGTTTCTTGTGGTCAAGGGAACCATCTGGTGGTTGCATAGGAATGTGCATGGAGTGTCACTCTGCAGTTCTCACCAAAGTAATCATTAATGTAAAGACTAGTTTTTGTGCTCTTGGAATTTGACCATTGGGATCCTCTGGTGGGGAACTCTGGTGATCACGCACTAGACATGCGTTTTCTACATAGAAAGTTGACAACGGCTACTTTTGTGTGGGGGTATAAATAGGTGGTGTGCTTAGGCATTTCACCTCTCTTAGACCTCTTGGTTGATAACTACACACAATTGAGAAAACACTCCACAACATGCTCGACTAGCCACAACACAGTGCTGCTTGGCACTGCCTGGCCTCGAGCAACCAGTGTGGACTTGAGCCCAATCAGTGCCACCATCCACCCAGTCAGGAAACGTTGCCACCATCCACCCCGTCAGGAAACGTGTCATCCATCAGGATCTGCTTAGACGCCTCCAACGCCATCACTAGGATCATCGAACTTGGTCTACTAAAAATATTCCTACACACACTAGTAGACAACATACCTTTCATCTATGGCTTTAGTCTCGCCCAGATTTAGGCCCAGGACTAAAGGGAGAATTAGTCCCGGTTGGAGCCACCAACCGGGACTAAAGTACCTGACCCAACGGCTAGGTCCGCAGGCTTTTGTAGGAGAGGACCTCTAGCCCTAGTTGGTGCTTCCATCCAAGACTAAAGGTCATCCTCTAATCTCGGTTAGAGCTACTAGCCGGGAATAAACCTTTAATCCCGGTTGGTGGCTCCAACTAGGACTATAAAGTGACCTTTAATTCTCCTAGCCCGAGCCATTTCAAGCTCTCTGCTTGCTCTCTGTTGCTCGCTCGTGGAAGGAGTTCATGCTTGCAGGGATTTGTGAAGACTTCATTCCTCCATCAATTCTTGAGTTCTAAAGGTTAGCACCTTCATCCTCTCCTGTTTCAGTACTAGTATGGATCATTTCATGGTTTAGAAATAAAGAAATTTGTGGTTTTTTAGATTGGGAATAATGGTGGATTTTTCTGATTTATACGCCATTTGAACTCAAACTCACTTGATAGTTTGCATGTGTAGATGAAGGAAGCTTATAGTAGTTTGTCAAAACTAGTATCCACCTTTCATTACTAGTATATATAGCTCATTTCGTTGGTTTAGAAATGGTGAAATTTATAGTAGTCGATCAAAATGAGTATAGAGTAGATGGCGACAGCTTCGGGGTCTTAGGCCTCACATCAGGTTCATCTCCGCAACTGAGGCCAGACCTCTCTTCTCATTGTGTGCGGCAAGTGTAAGCAGAAGACTGTGTTGGAGTATAGGGTGAAGGAGGGTCATAACCATGGGCGCATCTTCTACACATGTCCGGATCGCAATGTGAGTTCTTTTGGCCGCGTTTTTTTATGGTTTGTAGCCATTTTTCGTGATAACTTTGACTAAAGTTCTTGATTTAGTGTTCTAATTTCAATGCGATGACACTGGATCGGATCATGTAATGGTTGATACTGGGAGGAAGAATATGTTCAGCACGTGCAAGAGCAAGAACTTAGTTTAATCTCTAGAACTCTTTCTCGAAAAAGAACGGTTGTAATGAGCTCAATCATTCATGCTTCCATGTTCAAGGAAAACGATGGCCAGCCAAAGAGAGCATGGCATGCAAATGTAAAAACACCCACGCAGTTATATATATAGCAGCCCAAGGCTATCATTTTTAGCCAGAAACACCAGATCGAATCTAGTACTAAACCAGAGCAATTTGGTGCTAGGAAACATGGGTCATGTGAATGTAGTATACCAGCTCCTGCAAGCATCTCTTGCACAACGGCTATTACTGCTCGTCCCTCTCCTCCTAATGCTACTGCACTTCGCCTCCCGAAGCCATCGTGGCAGCAACGAAAAGCAGAAGCGACCGAACCATATCCCGCCTCCTTCGCCTCTGGTCCTGCCCATCATAGGCCACCTGCACCTCGTCGGTGACCTCCCACACGTCTCCCTCCGCAGCCTGGCCGCAAAGCACGGCGGTCTCATGCTCCTCCGCTTTGGCACCGTCCCAAACCTCGTCGTGTCATCCACGCGCGCGCGGCTCGGCTGATCATGCAAACACATGACCGCCTTCGCCTCGCGGCTAGCTTCCAAGATCTCCAATACCCTCGTCTATGTGTCATCTGATATTGCCTTCTCCCCCTACGGCAATCATTGGCGTCAGGTTAGGAGGCTCGTTACCACTCATCTCTTCACCGTCAAGAAGGTGAACTCCTACCGGCTCTCCCGGCAAGAGGAGGTAATATTTAGGGTCCTGTTCGCTTGAACTTATCAGCCGTACATTTTTAGCAAAATAACAATGTTTTTCTTTCACAACAAATCAGAATCAGCTGTTTTTTCAGCCAGCCGAACAGGGCCTAGATTACCAACACGAGTTTTTTTAGATGAAGGAAGCTTTACTTATTAAAAATAAAGATCGGACCTTTATAACAAAGACCGGGTTATTATATATATATGTGTGTCCAATAGGTGCATATATAGCTCAGACCTTACGTCTAACATGAATATCCTCATCTGTGCATAGGTGCGCCTAGTGATCAAGAAGATCCAGGAGGCGGCAGCTGCGAGCAAGGAGGTGGACATCAGCGAAATGATGAACACGTTCGCCAACGATATCGTGTGTCGTGCCGTGTGAGGAAAGTTCTTCAGGGCGGAACAAGGTCTTCCGAGAGCTGATCCAGATGAATACTATTCTGTTTGGAGGGTTCAGCCTCGAAGACAACTTCCCAGGGCTAGCGAACGTGTTAGGTTTGCTCACCAGGTGGTTTGTAAGCAACAAGGCCGACGAGGCACACAAAAGATGGGACGATTTACTTGAAACGATAGTAAGCGACCACGAGAGACGAAGAAGATCTGAGCATGGGCATGGTGGTGGTGGTGGTGTTGACCAAGAAGAGAGTAACTTCATCGATGTGTTGCTCTCAGTTCAGCAAGAGTATGGTATCACTAGAGATCATATCAAGGCCATCTTGATGGTTATATATATATATATATATATATATATATATATATATATATATATATATATATATATATATATATATATATATATTATATATATATATATATATATATATATATTTCCCAATAATTTCCATTTGTTTAATTTATATAAAAAATAGAATATATAGATATAACTAATTAATAACGTTTTGGAAATTCAGGACATGTTTGCTGCGGGCACAGAGACTTCATCACTAGTTCTAGAACTCGCCATGGCGGAGCTTATGCGCCACCCTCAGCTCATGAGCAAGCTACAAGACCGAAGACGAGGTGCGGAAGAACACACCCAAAGGACAAGAGATGGTTGAGCAAGAGAACCTAGCTAGCATGCCATATCTAAGAGCCGTGGTGAAAGAGACGCTGAGGTTACACCCACCGGCACCACTCCTGCTTCCTCACCTCTCAATGGTGGACTGTGACGTGGACGGCTACAGAATCCCCTCGGGAACACGAGTCATCATCAACGGATGGGCCATCAGTAGGGATCCAGAGTCCTGGGAGAGCGCGGAGGAGTTCATGCCAGAGAGGTTCATGGACGGTGCCAGCTCCGCGGCCATTGACTTGAGGGGAAACGACTTCCAGTTTGTGCCATTCGGGGCTGGGCGAAGGATCTGCCCTGGCCTCAACTTTGGCCTTGCTACTGTTGAGATTATGTTGGCAAACCTCGCCTACTGTTTTGACTGGGGTCTGCCCATTGGCATGACGGAAGGGGATATTGATATGACAGAGGTGTTTGGATTGTTAGTCCGTCGAAAGGAGAAGCTCATCCTGCTTCCGGAGCCACATGCGTGCACGTGTTAGAGTTGTTCCTGCCCACTCGTCTCCGATGAGTGAGTGATCCATTATATGTGCTGTGGACGATGTGGTTTCTGCCACATATACGAACGTCCATGTATTATATGTATTTTGTAACAGAAGCTGCGTATAGGATGGGTGCTTTATTTACTATAAGTGAGAGTACTAGTACATTGTATGAATTAAATTATGTGGTATATAGGTTATTGAACATTGAAGTTTGTGGACAAGATGTGTATTACGCTAATACAAAAGCAAAACCACCAGTGTAAAAGACGAACCAAATCCATACTCCCTCTGTCCTAGTATGAATGACTTTCTAGCACTGCATTGAAGTGTCCAGGTTCAGATATTCATCCATGCATGTGGACATAGCCACCATCTTGGTTCAAAGAATCTTTACTACACCTCGTTGAAGACTAGAATGACTTATAAAATGGGACAGAGGAGTTCGGGACAAGAAAATTTGGAACCAACGCTAGAAAGTTGTGGTGGCAGGTCAGATTAAAGGGTCCACGAGTTAGGAATGAGTGGACGTCCGCACGATGCTACGTGCGGATGGTGCCCACAATTTTTTTCCCCAAAATTAGTAGGGATTACATGACGCCGTAGTAGTAGCACGGATAGAGCTCGAGCCCGTACCAGAGAAATTTTGCAAAGATATTATAATCTTTATCTACGGTTAGACCCAGCCTAAGGGGGGTCGAGCTGGGCGGTCGCACTGTTCCCTTAAAAGAAAGGGGCCCAATTCTAGATATGGATAATGTAGGTGTATGAGATATCTGGCCCAGTAAGAAATACGCATACAGGCAAATCGATTTGCCTTCGGCCGCTCCAACGCTGCTTTTGTCGATGTGCGTCACGCCGTCGCCGACTCCGAGTACTCGACGTGAACAGCTACGCGGCAAAGGCTAGGCAGCCGGCGACTCACGCACTTTGAGCCTGTTTGGATACGAACCTGGACGCAAGATGCCTGGCTAGGACCTCGCCTGGAAACTGCCTGTGCAGTGTTTGGATGAAGCCCTGAGAGCTTGACTGACCCAGGCAGCCGTGCGCACGCCCAGGCGATGGAAAACGCCCGCCTGGCTCAGGCTCCGTAGTTTGCCTGGACGCAATAAAGTATTCTATTCTTAATTGACGTTAATGGTCACTTGATTAAGTCCATAAGACCATGATTACAACAGATTTTTCCTCTCCTTTTTCCATGTAAACGCTAGCATAGTTTGTATTCTGAAGCTTTCTACTCTTTAATTAAATACATATAGAGATCTTTCATTAGAAAAAAATTAATTTAAATTAATTTTTTAGCAAAGAAGAGATAATTAACCTAAGTTATTATTCTAGTAAACACACCATAGTAGTGTTCATTAATCCTATACAAACAATAAAAAAGTAAAATTTCACTCGCATAAACATTCTCAGGCACAGACATCTAACCAAACATACTTTCTCTCACATTGCCTCACCAGGCAAAACTCATCAACTTTCCAGACAACTTCCAGGCAGCACTTTTTACCAGACAAGTCACCCAAGTCTCTATCCAAACATGCCCTTTGTTTCTGCATTTCCGAGCCACGCGTGTCCGAGTGACGACCAGACGAGATATCAGTTGCATCTACGTCAAAGCTTGACGTATATGTTTAATCATTAATGCTTTGATTTTTTGTTTGTCCTCAATCTTTATTCTTTAGAGCACAAGACTTCGAGACTATTCTGATATGGGATTTAGGAATCCTGTAGAGAGCTGGCATGCAGTTATAGTGTAGTGTGACCTAAATCTATACTCTTTTGATTTTAATATTGAATCTAGCAAAACATAGTTTTGGAAAATACTTGCTAATAATTTTTTTGGAATTACTGATGAACTATTCGAGGTCCGTAATGTCTTTAGACAGATTAAATGGTTTGGTGACTTTATGCATTGAGAAGAAATTGTTACATGAGATTGATACGGAAGCCTGCATCAATAACTTCACATTTGCAAATATTTGAAGAAAATTTTAAGATAATATTTATAATTTGTCTAATAAGAATATTTTTGGATGTATTAAAGTGTTTATTAGAAACATCATTATTATTATAGCTACATTAAAGGGCCCATCTTTTTAGGTTTGCTCCAGGCCACCAAACAGACAGGACCGGGCTTTGTCTATGGTAAATCGGTAATTATAATATAATTTTTTAATTAGTCAAGAGGTTTCTTTGGAGCCCATGACCTGAAAATGTAGAACAGTAAGAGCATCTCCGAGAGTTTCTAACAAATTTTTTTTCTAAAATCATGAAGTTTTTTTACTCGTAAAAAATTATTAGAAAGAATAAATAAGACCATCTCCATACTATTTCTAAATTATCCTCACCCCTTTTATATATTCTTTTATATTTGCATCAGGATCTCTTTCCTACTCTTTACTGTTTCCCACGCCCTTCCACCTTTAGATTGACCAATGGATACGCGCGTGGCAGATGCGTGATTTTTCGAGCGCGGAACGACCGGTGGTGGATTTGGGAACTATTGGAGACGGGGGGTTCCATTCTGGCTAAAAATCCTATATTGGGACCGGGTACTCTCGGAGATGCCAAGAGTTCCTAAGAATTTATTCCCAAAATTATATAGTTTTTCAACTACGAAAAAGTATTGGAAGGAATAAATAAGATCATATTTACATCAAGAATCATATACTATTTTCTAAATTATACTCACTACTTTTATATATTATTTCTCTCTTGTATATTTGCATAGGAACCCTTTTCTATATTTTATTCTTTCTCATGCGCTTTCACCTTAGATTGGCAGATCGATACGCATGTCAAAGACGCGCGGTTATATGTGCACGTTTGGTGATTTTTTTCAAGTGCCAAAAGATTGAGAACTTTTGGAGATGATTTTTTTCTATTGTTACAAAAAATCCTAGATTGAGAGTTTTTATTGAGAACTCTTGGAAATGCTCTGAGAGTCTGTCTGGAACCGGAGAATTTTTTGTCTCTATATGTTTTTTGTGAAATTTAAGTTGAACTGATTCTTTTGTTCCAAACGGGTCCTGAAACACAAAACTAGAGTTCAATAATTTTGTGACTAATTTCGCCGGGCAAAGCTGCTGCAGCAGCAGACGTGCACAACGCAGTGACAGTTAGCATAAGCCAAGCCAGTCCGGCAGCTGTGGCGGAGACGCCTCCGCTTCCCAACCACCCGAATCAAACAACACAGCCACCGATGGCGTCGGCGTCGCGGCTGCTCCCGCCCGCGCCTCCTCCGACCGCCCAGCTCTGCGGCCCGCGGGACCACCTCGCCGTGCCGCACCTCCGGTGCCGCGCCGCCGCCTCCGCCTCGGCCACTGATGGCGCCGTGCTGCTGGAGCGGGGCGGTCCCGCGGCGGTGGCCGTGCGGGAGTTTGTTACGCTTGACGAGCTCCGCGCCGCTGTGCGCCTCCGCGTCCGCACCTTCTACGAGTACGCCGTCGACTCCGTCGGAACCGAGGTGCTTGATCCCGTCTCATCTGTTTTCTGGCGTGCTGTCTGATTGTGATTGGATCGCGAGACTGTTCTTGGTTCTATCATTTCTTAGGTGAATTTAGCACGTGTTGGCAGGATGTTGCGTGGGGTGTTCGGATACTAATAAAAAAATAAATTACATAATCCGTCAGTACTCCACGAGACGAATTTTTAAGCCTAATTAATTCGTCATTAGCATATGTTTACTGTAGCATCACATTGTCAAATCATGGACTAATTAGGCTTAAAAGATTCGTCTCGCAAATTAGTCGCAAACTATTTAATTAGTTTCGTAATGAGTCTATATTTAATACTCCATGCATGTGTCCAAACATTCGATAGGACAACGACTAAAATTTAGGAGGGGCAACCAAACACCACCTTAGTCAGGAAGTGTCGAGGAACTGGACGACTTGATTAGCCCTTTAAGTGTTCGGTAGGTTGAATGAATCCAATTGTGTGATTTGTTCTTAGTTTGGAAGAATTCTGTGAAATATTCACCATAGGTGTTGTCAATTGGTGTGTGATTCGTAAGTTTCAGTTTCGCAAGTTATGTTGCGATACTCTTGTCACGTCATCAGAGGCGTTTTACCTGTTTCAGACTACCGCTTTTGTTCTGTCGTGCCGCAGTCACATTGCCACAATACAACAGCGGCACTCGTTGCTAACTGCAAGTTATGAACGAGCATGCGGAGCGCATATCTTAATGGAAGTTTTGTTAAAGAAAGAGTAAAGCTATAAACTTCACCGATTCAAGGCTTCTTTTCAATCGAATTTTTCTGCCCAACCCAAGAATGACAAGTTGTCTTCTTTCCTAACTCTGGCAAGGTTACAGTTAGGTTCGGGATTTGGGGACTTACGTGAATCCGGCGGGCTTACAAGGATTGCTGGGGAGGAGGCTAGCCCAGTGGTGGTGGCGGGTGTGGGTGTGGCGTGGGGTGAGGCAGCGATGGCGCCGTTGGCCAGGCAGTGTGGGAAGGGGGAAGGCGGTCGAGCAGGGCAAGGACAGGGGCGTAATGAGACAGCCCGCCAACGTCCACTGGGTTAGCATCGCGGTGGTGGCAGATGCGGTGGGGCGCCGAAGCTTGGCAGGAGGTGGTGCCTGAAGGGGAGCTCAGTCCGAGATGAAGAAGAAGATTAGGAGGCGGCACATCTGATGGATTTAGGGCCAGGCCGTGGTGGTTGGCGATACATCTGGTGGCGCAGGATCCACCGTAATCGGGCGGAGAGGCGGAGACGGTGGGGGCGAGTGGTGCATTGGGGTCAGGGTTGTGTGCGGGCACGGGCATGGGCACTGGCGGTGGAAGGAGGAGGGAAGAAGATAAGGTGGAGAGAGATAGATTCAATCTGGGCACTGTATTTTATATCTAATTGCCAAAATGGTCAAGTGATGGTTGCCCTTGGATTACTCTGTTGTTGCACAGAATGACTCTAAAGAAAACGGTAAGGGAACTGTGAGGTAGTGTGTAGCGACACGAGATTAACTGCTGCAGTTAGCATTGTTTTTCCTTTAAATGAAACAAACCAAGTAGGAGAGCTGCGGATTATATTAATGAAAAGGTAGGACTAGACTGGGCAAACAAATACAATCAGAAAAGCTGCTCTGATAGTGTAACACCAAAACTACCATGTTCGCTACTTAAATCGTGTGTGTTCTCAAACTCTCGACGAATTCTGGTAGGCGCTAGACGTAGTCCTCATGCCCTGAGGTCAGATGACGCCACCTCAAGCTCCCTTCCACCGAGCTCTAGTGGACACAATGGGAGCATGATGAACCGCGGGCTAGTGATACACCGTGTGGTGAAGGAGGTCAGAGGCTTAGCAAAGTACCATTGGTCACAAAGGAAAACTGAAATGAGTGGTCCTTTTTGATGAAGGTGAAGCTCCAGATGCATGATCTCTAAGATGCCATTGAGATTGGTGGCGTCAACTTGCAATACGATGGACTGGTGCTTGAAACCATTTCCAATGTAATGCTGATGGAGATAATATCCATGCTGGCAGGACAGACTGGTGCTTGAAATGTAAAGACACTGGTCTCTGTTGATGCAATGGAGCATCACAAGTTCACAATAGAATACTATAAAGCTAAGTAGATAATTGGTTTTTCTGTGATGAACTGCACCAAGCTTTATTATGTTGTTAACTGACTGGTCCTTCATCCCAATCTTGCTGTGTATCACATTGTTCTTTTAAAGAGACAAATGTACTGTTGAGGTTAACCAATGTTATTTGGGAAAAGAAAGGGATTAAAGTTGAGCGTGTGTCTCACTAATAGATAGTTTCTTTTCTGGAAATCACACTCCTCTGGTCAGGTCTATTTTGGTTGTTAGCTGAAACAAGTTTTCTTGTTGAAAACAATACAATATTATTAGACTGAATCATGACTTGAATACCTCATTGTTGTTTTGTTTAGGCTGTGCGCTTTTACGCAGAGGCCGGAAGTGAGTTCATGATTATTGTATCAATTCGATGTAATGATTGTGAATTAATAAAATCCTTCCTTTATAAAAAAATACCATATTGTGCAGGATGTAAATTCCTGTTTAGTTCTTACTAGTTCCTTATTCACTTTCCATGCAATTTTCTGTTTCTTTTTTGTTTGATTGCACTACTGCATCATTGTATGATTGTATCGGTCCAGTAATGACTTAAATTTTACTCGATGTTGTTAAGTTCTGTTAGGATCACAGAAAGGCTCTTGCAGATAGGGAGTTTGAAGCATTACAGGATAGAATTTCTGGGAAGATGATAAATTTTCAAAGAGTTTCTTGCATAAACGGGACTGTTCCACTGTCCCCATCATTAATGTCAGCTGAGGAACTTTGTTCTATGTGCAAGGTACAGATTGTATTTCCTCACATCGTTCGTTTCTTTGGCACTGTTCTTTTCCATTTCACCCAACTGGATTTATTGAAATTGGTAGACAAAATGTTTTTAATTCATTTATATATGTTCTACGTTCATTAAAGCCTTGATAATAAGAAGAAACGTGTAAATAGTTTTGTTGGCCTATAGATTTCCTATCTACTCCCCCGTTCAAAAATACTTTCGCATTTGAGCTTGCATCTGTTTGATGTATATCTTTGACCACTATTTCTACAATATATATTATAAAAATCCTTCTATTTTATTAGGTTTTGCAAAATAGTTTTTGATACAAATCTACACATAATCTTACATGTTTCTAAACAAAATAAGATAGCTAGCTATTGTCTTACTGATGTTTGTAGTATTTAAGGTTTTACTAAATCTTAAACGACATGCTTTTATGACTGGAGAGAGTAATTCATTTTTATGGTCGCTTATTTTTGGAGTAAAAGAAATGTGGAAACTAAAATGCCAACTTTTGCTGCAATGGTACAGTATTTGCTATTTGTTCATTTAGATAAAATATACCCTTCATAATGCAATTTTCTGGCATCTCGTCTCTTTTTCCTTGCATTCTGCCCTCTTTTCAGTTGTCATCTATGTTATTTCCAATAAAGTAAATATGGATGCTCCTTTATACAAGGATTTGACTCTAAAATTGATGTCATTTTAGTTGGCTATACATGCAGTTTGTGGAGGATGGAGAAGAGAGAGTAGTAGTTAGTAGTTTAGACCTTAATCAGTGTCTTTGGCTACCAGATGAATTGACTGGAAAGAGGCCTGGGGTACGACTGTTGCTTCCTTTTTCTATGCTATTGCAGAATACTGATGGTCAAAACATATTTTTTGATAGTTGTTATTGGTATTGTTGGACTTGCTTTGGTCATCTCTTGGTTGTTTTTTTGGCAATAAAGATAAACTCACTACACCTAATTTTCTCTTGACAATAACTTTTCAGTGCCACTCCCACTTTTATTTGATCATTTGGAAAGCCTTGTTGGCTGCCAAGATAATTTTTTTCTAAGCATAGATATTGTGCAAAATGCTTAAATTTGTTCTACTGCTTCACAGAATGAAAATGTTGTTCCATGATTGATTACCAATAGGTAAATGAAGACATCCAGACAAGAGCGTATCTAAGCAATGTCTGTGTGGCCAAGGAGCTTCAGAAAAAGGGCTTAGGCTGTACATTGGTTGACAAGTCCAAGAAATTAGCTCGTGAATGGGGTAAGTGTAGTTGATCCATTTACTTGTTTTTTTCATACCGGTGCTCCTGATTTGCAATTATTTAGTCCTTAGTCCTTATTCTTTCTTTGCTGATACCATTATGCTCACGTCAAATTGGTGTGCTCGCAACAACTTTGGCAGGCATAACAGACCTGTATGTCCATGTCGCCATTGATAACATAGCAGGGCAAAAGCTGTACGAGAAGAGTGGATTTGTTTATGAAGGCGAAGAACCTGCATGGAAGGCTAGGTATCTGGGGAGACCACGGAGGCTGCTTCTTTGGCTCGATATGAGCAAAGTGCCTTTGTGATCGTGCATGTAAATACATATTTGTAATCATATTCTTGTGATCGTTACTTTTACTGTTCGATCCCAAATCTCCAAATGATTGCAGTCTGAATCATCCCTCATTCCTGACTAATTTCTTGTTCATAGCTACTGAGAATACAACTCGGAAGAAATGTGGCAAAGTTTTAAGATTTGCTTATCAAGCAAGAGAACAAAACTGTACCGTTGAGCAAGAATGCGTAACAATAATTGGATCAGGTCGCTTATGAGCAAGATCACTACAGCTGTTGGACTACAAAAGCAAGCCAATGATTCCTTAGGGTTAACATAACTAATCAAGTCTTCAAAAAAAAAAAAAAAAAAAAAAACCACACTAAGAGTAAAGTCCTTAGTTTTGCAAGTATGAAACCTACGATAAGCACACTCACAGTTCATTCCTAGTTATCCATCAAGAAGCTTGCAATCAACAAGACTAGACCAAGTAAAGAGTAAGGCAAAGAACCAGAGAGAAAAAAGAAAACGAAGGCAAGTGAGTGGAGATGAGTCAGCTCGAGCTCTCCCCGCGAAGCGACCAGGTGGCTCCTCTACCGAGGCTTCGCTGGAGTCGGCGACAAGATCTCCGACTCCGACAAGATGTCTGGTGGGCGGGTGCTTCACGGGAGAACTCACACGCGGCAAATCGAGGCGAGTTTTCTCATGGGAAGACAGTTTTTAGGAGTGCTATGGCTGATGGCTGGATTGCGGGGGATGCAGCTCTGTTGGGGGGGAGGGGGTTGACAATAATAGAGGAAATTCTCCTCTCAATAATGGAGATTCAAGGATTCCTAGGGTGGGGATCTCTCGATTGTGCAATCGGATGAAGGTTAGGGTAGCGAAGGGCGAATGTGCAATTGTAAGCGCCCTAGAAAGTGCATGTACAATTTTTTTTTGAACGGAGGGCTGTTATTAATTCGTCGAGAACCGACAAAGCAACAGATCAGCTTAACAATGGAACGTGCTGGCACGAATAAGCAGACCGAGAGATTCCCGACGTGATTAACGGGCCGGCGCCCGGCGCCCAGCGGTCTGCCGAAAGTACCAGATATATTCCTACGAGTCTGTACTGTCTTCGGGTCGATACAAATTAATGCCTTTGAAGGGACACAACACTGGGTATAGCCACAGTAATTAGTGTGCCGGTCTCAGAGGAAGTTTTATATTAATTTTATTTACATGAAATAGGTTGGCATGTAGTAGACATTTTCGATGACATGACAATATATTTAATAAGAGAGAGAATAAATTAGTTTCATCTAAATAAAACTCCCTTGGCAGATTATCAACTCACTATTAGTCATCAAATTAAATATCTATAAAGCTATAAAATAAAACTTTGCATTCAGAGTGGGTATTTCATCTATTTTTATTTTATTTTATATGAGATAGCAGTTTTAGAAACAACACCGTGAAACTATCCATCGAGACTGGCGTAGTGTCATAAATCAGATGCATACCATTAACAGAGTATTAATTGGAAGGTATGCCGAGGTGCTTTGTGCAATTGCACTTTTCGATTGAGTATACTCCGTACTGTACATAGCTAAAACATCGTGTGGGCACTAATAAAAATAATAGACCACAAAAATATTCTACTCCTATATAAAATAACAAATCCTTCCTCCTATTAAATACTCTCTTCGTCCTGAAATATAAGCTTGAAAAATACTTCATTATCCCTCACTAATTAGGAGGGAGGAGTAGTTATGTTATTGCTTTACTAGTTTAAAAGGAATCTTTACATGTTATTATGCTGGCCATGAATTAGAGAGGTAATGCATGTTGTACTTATTAGAAGGAAATGAGTGTTGGGTTAATAAAGGTAGAGGAGAGAAAAGAGTCGAGGACCTAGAATACCTTATATTTTGATATAATTTTTGAACTCTTAATTCCTCATATTTCAGGATGGAGGGAGCAGTAAAATGGTAGAAATATCACTACTACAGAAACTTCATCACGACCAGTTCTAAACCCCCCTTCACCACTGGTTATGGCCATCGTTGGTGATCACTATCGGTTTCAGAAACTAGTGGTGGTATTGTTCATCATCGTTGGATCAATGTTCAATCCAGCAGTGCTGACGATGGAAACATCAACGCCAGATGGGCGTACCATCCGGCGGTGATGGTCGAGACATCGACGCCGGACGGACGTACCATCTGATGGCGATGGTAGAGACATCAACGTCAGTTGGTCGTTCTATCTGGCAGTGATGATGGAGACAACAACATCGGTGTGGCATATGATCCAGTGTTGATATAGGTATTAGCACATCCACTTGGCATTCCATCCGGCGGTGATGAGGGCGGCAGCACCGCTGCCGTTGAGTTTTGGTTCCGGTGGTAGTGTCTTGTCCACTACCGCCGATGTTGGCACTATGATCACTGCTGGGTTTGCCATAGCACCAACGATTTGGATAGGACTTTGGTGATACAACATTGTTCATAATACAATTGTAATAATAAAAACAAATAGTATTTGGTTTACATGAGTCTAGAACCATATATACACACAAAGTATCCAAACATACATGACACAAGTCCATACAACAAATCCAACCACAATGATATATTTTTTAGAACAAAAACAAACATAAGATCGTCCATAATAAAATTGGCAATACAAGGTGAAGAACATTAACACCTTGATTAGATAAAGTAAATGCTCTACATCTAGATTCAAAACTTGGTCCATAATGAAGCCAACAAGCTCTTCTTTCATCCTAGATATGTCCAAATCAGCCAACTCTGCTGTACTGGACCCTAGTTTCTGCAACACAAGGTAAAACACAATTAAGGCATGCATTGCTATACACTCTAATTAGGTGGGTAGGTCATCAATTGACTAAAGGGGGACAACATGTGTGCCAGAGTAGCCATCTTCGATGAGGGTGTGCATGTAATGCATGACATAGAAGCCGCATTGATCATTGCCCAAGGTTATGTTGCGATCGAATTCGCCTTATGTACAGTGAACCAAAATTAAAAAATGGTTGATATTTCTTGCTCTTTTTCTTGTACTTCTCGAAGCACCTGTGTGACAAGTTCATCTTTTTCTTGTACTTCCCGAAGCACCTGTGTGACAAGTTCATGAGAGTGACATATAATGATCAAAGCTTTAACAATAATTCTATAGCTAACGCAATGTAGGAGTAGCTTGTTTTACTTGTTTAGCATGTCAATGAAGGGTTATATATGCTCTCGTGGTCTCCTTCGATAGTCAAAAATAGTGAAAGTGCATTTCTCTAGGTTTATGTCAAGAAGGACATAATGATTGCTGCATTCATAGTGCCCCGTTGCTAATTAGGCTCAACCCTGAAATATGTAATGTAGTAGAAAATTAGGCATTTACAACACTCTTACATGTAGTTGTAGGCTAGAAGTATGGAGGATTTGTTTTGTTGGGCAAGCAAGCCCTTTGTTGATTCATCAATGGTGGTATTGTCATGTATTTTCTTCTCAATGTACATTGCTGGGTTCAAGAAGTCTGTGTTAATCCCTCTCAACCTGCATGTGTGTCCCTGTAACACCCCTGGTGTTACGGACTTAGTTAGCATAGAGGTTAAGGCCTAATAAACCCTAGTGAATATGTTTTCCAGGTTTTTACAATGAATTCTCATATGAAATGGTAGGGTGAACTTTGTGTGACTCGCCTTCGTTACTAAAGAAACAAATAAGTGTTGCTAATCAATTTGCCTTGGTGCTTAAAAGATCTTAAATAATCTTGGGAACAAAAGTTGTTTAGGGTTTATTTTGGAAAAGTATGAAGAAAGTGCTTAAAAATGCCTTATAGCAATTCTAGCAAGTAAATAGTGAATGGCTTGTTGTATTCGATTAAGCAATGAAAACAATTTTTATAAACAAAAATAAAATATAACTTGTATTTAGTACTTAAATAAAATTTGGAGTACAAGTTTAGTAGATAAAAATGTAACTTTTGTTTTGGTAAGTAGATGTTGTTCAATAGTGTTTTTGATAGCTCAAGAATTGAATGCGGAATTCAATTTTAGCTTCTAGAACGAAAATGACTTAAACTCTGAAAACCTAATGACGATGCCGTTTTGGTATTTAAATTTTGATTAAACTTCTTAAACACTAGATCCATGTTTTTGTATTGTTGGTTGCAACATAGTGAGTACCTTATCATGGTGTAGCTCATGGACTAGTTTGATTTTGCGTTGGCGTTGTAAAAATTGCCCAAACCTCCTTAGAACGCGCTGTGAACCATGATTTGGTGCTCAGTTCGTGAACCGACGTTCAGCATGACGAACTCATGTTGGCACCTCCCTATCTCCCTCTCTGGTCACTCTCTGGACGAGAGGTTTGCTTTGCTAGTTGGGTGATAGTATCGACTTTAGGTTAGTGGTTTCGGTTGAACCTCCACTGAGCTGGGTTCAAAGTTTGGCACGTTTCAAAATTCGTGCAAGCACACGGTTCAGCCGTTCGGACCCGGGGACACGGTCACCACGCCTGGTGTCGCGTTCGTCGCAGGCTCTCTATACTGCTGTCGACTGTTGCTACCGTGCGTGCCCGCGTCGCGCATTGCTTGGCTTACCTTGTGACCGTGGCCACTATCCCACTGGCCAGCCCTTGTGGCCGTCGGCTGCACGCCGAGCGAGGCATGGCCACAGCCGCTCTCCACCGTGCACGAGTTGCTACCAGTCATGGCGTGGGTTGCGCACACATGCAGGGCTACGCCCTTATCCTCTTGTCACCTCGGTCACTACAGTGCTCGCCCTCTGCCACTCCACCCACCTACCACACCCTGGTCTCGACGCCGTTGCATGGACTGCCACGCTGCTGCTTGCACATGGCCACGCACATGCACATCTCTACGGCTCCATCCGAGCACTAACCAATGCGCCTCCTGCCCCTCGCTTGTGTGGTCATGTCCCTACGCTGTCATGCCCTTGTCGGGTCTTGGTCGGGCCACTTTAGCCATGGCCACTCTCCACGACGTGGCAGTGGCAATGCACCGTTCTCTCTC